ATAATAATAATAATAATAATAATAATAATAATAATAAATAATAATAATGCTGTAAAGGCAAATATACAACATGGTAGGCCCTAAATAACAATTAAAATGGTATCAGATGCCCACAAGACGGAAAAAAATTGGCCGTAGATCGGGAGTTCTAAATGTGGAATTGTGGATTTTCTCCCCAAGAGATGGGTGAATATAGAAGAGTCCCCCCTAGTTATTTTTTTTTCAATACTAGGTCTATAGTGATAATCTTATATTTCTATTTGCCCTATATACCACCAAAATCATGTGGAAAAAACTTTCCTTTCCCTTTCAAACTTAGTGACAAGAAAATGTAGATCCAGGTCTTCTAATACTGTTTTGATTGATCGAGACATTTTTTTTTTCTCGTTGGTTATTATTATTTTATCACTAAGATAATCACATGTCGAATATGCCTTGTTACGCGCGATTTTCCATTAGGCTCATGCCCACAGCCGTTGATTTTTTTCCAATTGACCCGATGTCAAAGGTCATGAAAGCACCGAATGAAAAAAGAACCGTACGTAACGATGAAAGGGCCGAAAGGTAAAAGCACCAAATGATAAAAGAGCCGAAGTGTGGCAAAAGCACAGAACGTAATGTTAAAAGCACCGAACGTAATGTAAAAAGCACCGAACGTAATGTTCAAAGCACCGAACGTAATGTAAAAGCACCGCACGTAATGTAAAAAGCACCGAACGTAATGTAAAAAGCACCGAACGTAATGTAAAAAGCACCGAACGTAATGTAAAAGTACCGAACGTAACGTAAAAGCACCGAACGTAATGTTAAAAGGGCCGAATAGCAAATGCGCCGAACAGAAAAGAGCCACCAAAGGCAGTAACGGCATTCTATACTATCTTGTATTTTTAGTATCTTTGATCAAAGATACTAGAAAACACAAGATAGTAGTACTGTAGAGTTATATATCTGAAACTGGTAGAGAGTAAACAAGGCATGACCAATTCTTTGAACAAACTGAAGGCACGGCCATGGGATCTCCTTTATCCCCAGTCATTGCCAACATCTTCCTCGAAGAATTCGAACAGCTGGCTATTCATTCCGCCACCCGACAACCCAAACTTTGGCTACGATACGTCGATGACACATTTATAATTTGGCAGCACAGCAAGGTGCACCTAGATAGTTTTCTAGACCACCTGAACTCTCAGCACGGTGCTATCTTGTTTACCATGGAAGAGGAACACAACCGCTCTTTACCTTTCCTTGATGTTTTGGTCACCAGGCAGATCTCAGGCATTTTATCGCATTCAGTCTACCGCAAACCAACTCATACCGACAGATATTTGAATAAACGCTCGTTTCACCACCCATCTACCAAGAAAGGAGTTTGCAACACACTTATCAGAAGAGCACAAAGCATCAGTGACCACAACTCCATCCAGAAAGAGATGCAACATGTAAAGGAAGTCCTGAAACTCAACGGTTATAACATGAGAGATTTGAAAATACACAAACGCAGCAATAGCCAAGATGACACGGAACCTAGAAAGTCTGTATGTTTACCATTTTTGGGACAGCTTCCTCACCGTATTCAACGCATTCTACAACTAGCCGATATTAAAGTTTTTCATAGTGCACCCAACAAACTATCAAGGACTCTTCAAACTCACAAGGATAACCCACCAGCCAGGAGTTTATCGGATACCATGCGAATGCGGAAAGGTTTACATTGGTGAAACAGGTCGTGATCTCCGTACCAGGCTCAAGGAACACCAAGGCCATGCCAGGAGAGGGGAACAACAGAAGTCATCTATAGTCATGCACTCCCACACACAACAACATCGTGTATGTTGGGATAAATCTGAACTGATAGCCACTGTACCATCATGGCATTCCAGACGGACCAGAGAAGCTATAGAAATTCACAAACACGATACAGTACATCAAGATATTGGATTTGTCATCAGCGATATTTGGTTGTCCATGTTTAACCGGACCTTAACCAAATTTTTCCCGCCAAATCTTTCCCTCTACACTGGAAACTATGCCATTGTTTTTGGCTTTCCTTCCCCCAGCTAGAACAATGCCACTGTCTTGGCTTCTAGCCACGCCCCTCCCTTCTATTCAGACCGTGAATTTTAGCTTTTGTGTAGCTTTTCACTGGTAGGCTCAGCCTTTGTTTAGTTTTCAACCAATCAGCAGCAAGTCTCATCACTCAAACATATAAGTATTTCCCTGTTTGAGATCTCTGCAGATATTATTCTCCTGAAGACGGTTGAAGCAAGTCAACCGAAACGTCGAGATATTCTCAACCAACAACAAAAGTTCTTTTCAGAACTATCTACGTGGTGTACCGCAAGCATTAATTATATATTATACTTCGCCATGCAAACCTTCAAACAATACTTTGATTGGTAAAAACTCATCATACCGGCACGGGACGTCGGTAAAGAAGTTCAAAATACAGTCATCATTATGAATTCTTGTGCTTTATTCATCCATACTATTGGTAGGCCTATTAGCTCAGGATTTCAATGCTTTTCCAACCCATTATTATTGACATTGAATACAGCTCTGATACTCACAGTATTTTTTAATCACAAATTAGAACTGCATATATGTAGTTTTAAAACAATGTGCATTCACTTAAAATGTATTTACAACACAAATTTATGTAATTACTGTAGGCCTATGTAATTATACACATCTAGATGTGTATAAGAGACAGCCTTCTCTCTTTCTTCTCTTTCATTTTTTTTTCTTTTCTTCTTTCAAGTTCCACTAGGCTCGATCCCACAGCCGTTGATTTTTTCCACTTGACCCGAAGTCAAAGGTCATGAAAGCACCGAATGATAAAAGAACCGTACGTAATGATGAAAGGGCCGAAAGGTAAAACTAAAAAGCACCAAATGATAAAAGATCCATAAGCTGTCTCTTATACACATCTACAGCAATGCAGTGACATCGGGGATCTCCCCTCCCCCGTCCGGCAAATCCTGGCGCCACCCTTGGCCAAACTGTTTAAGAACCACTACGTGACTCAAGAACAAGACACTTACAGTACCCACTGAGGGTATTCAGATATTTATTGTACTGTATTCAGTCTAGCGAGTGATGTTTGCACTCAGTCTAGCAAGTGATGTTTGTACATAAGAATGTTTCATAATAAAATTCTTATCTACTTCCCGTATCATTTTCTGCTCACTAAAGCCGCGCCGCGTACGGCTGGATCTTAAAAACTTCTGCCACCGTTACATACGGTAACTGTGAATACATAGGCCTAATCTCCTTTTGCGGAGGTTGAAATCGCTGCCATTATCCATAAGATCAGGGAACAGTGAAATTACAATTCAGTGTTCCCTGATAAGATACAAACAAGTAGGCATAAATAAATCAAAACAATAAATGACAGACACAAAAGCGTAGTATCGTATGACCGGACTCCGATTAGTGATAAAGTTTTCCTCCATTAGTGGAAAAAGGGCGCCGTGTCCGCCTGGATATACTTAGCTAGAGTTCCTAAGACGACTGAAAAGCGGAGTTTCCTTCTTTCGTTCTGCCGGGTAAAATCAATTACTTTAGGCGACGTTTGTAGACTAACCTACACGTACAACCAACGTCCGCATGTGGCGACGCTCGAGTATTACTATTCAGCGTTTTTACTATATTTCTAGGTTTCCTATTTCTACGTTTAATCGGCCCATGTCTCAGCCACAATATTTTGAGGCCAATATTATTTACGTACCCAGTTAAACTTATTTACTAGCCTATTTCAGCGTGCTAATTATTACATTTAGGCGACGCTTGTTGTAGACTGGCATACACGGTACCAACGCTCGTTTTTACTATGTTTCTACGTCAGCTCATCAGTGTTCTAATATAGACAATGGGTCGTGTCTCATATTATTTGTTACCGTATATTTTTATTATTCATTATTTTCACTTGACTCGCATAAATACTTTTGTTCGAAGAACATTTATATGCAGTTGTACTTCGCAGCACTTCACTTGCAATTTGCAATTTCTAGTAGAGAACTCTATATTTCACTTCGTAATTCGTGGTGTAGATTATTGTGAGATGCGAGCATAGCGCATGCGCAAGTCAGAGAGCGGTCATCTGCGAATCGACATGAACGTATTTATGAACATCTCTAGTGAAATTTCAAGAAAATCTGGAATTACATTATTGTAAGTAATTCATTTAACAATTATTAGTTATTAGGTACATTTGAAAAACTTCAACAGTATCATGTCGAAAGATCGATGTGGAACATCGTCTAGTTTTATCCACGGAGAACTGGATTTGGGGCTAAATTTAGCCGATATCACCACGGAGTTCCCGCCAACAGAAGAGATAACCTCGGCGGCCACAGATTTGTCGGAAAGCTGCAAGCAAAAAGGGGACACCCCTAGGCTTGTCGCCAGCGAAAAGAGAAATGCCACCGGAGACCCTCCTGGTAAAAACAAAAGAAAACAAAGACTATTATTGTCGATAAACCTTTGGCCGAAATGGAGGCAAAAATAAAGTTGTTGACACAACAATTAAATGACAAAAATCAAACAGATTCCGACCTCGGTGAGCACGACTCGTGTATTGACGAAGGTCAGGAGCACGACGTGTGCATTGATAATGATGATCACATTGGGTATATACTTGCGTCTCACGAAGACACAGATGTTCAGTCCCAGTCGGATGAAACTGGGGATGAGATAGGCAAGGCAAAGCAACCACACAAAGGAGGTCTGCTATCTCGGTTCAAAACCGAATCATCAGCAGTGTTACCAACAGCTGTGGCTGACTCCATAAATATGATGTTGAGAGAAAAGCTAGATGAAAAAACCATTGAAGACACATGTGCCAAATATTTGGCTCCTGTCAACACCCCCAAATTTGGTAGTTCCTGAGGTTAACAGCCCAATATGGAACGGGGTTTCACACGCAGCAAAGTCTGCAGACTTGAGATTACAGAGGCTACAGAAAAATGTAATCGCCATAATCTCAGCTTTTTCCACTACTATCACCGAAGATCCGAGTGATAAGGAGGTGGATATCCTGGCATTGCTTGGCAACGTAAACTTCAAAATAAATATGTTGCGACGGATGATTTAAAATCACAGATTGCAGATAAATATAAAGCAATCTGCCAGCAGTCCAACCCAATAACCAAAGAACTGTTTGGGGACGACTTAAACAAACAATGCAAAATATTAAGAGAAGGGTGACCCAGACACTGGTAAGACAACAGACTGGCGGGGGACGGATAGACAGGAGAATGCTCCGCAGATATAAAACAAATAAACCCTACAGTAAAAGACCAGTAAATTTTCACCAGAACAGACAAGGCCAATATCAACAGACATCAAAGCCTTTTTTAGGCAACCGACAGAGGAAGAACTTCCACCAGAAACAAGACAACCAAAAGAAAACCCAAACTTAGAACAAGTAGGTACTACTCAATCGCCAGTGATAGGGAAACAATTGAAATATTTGTTCCGCACTGGAGAAGGCTAACGTCTGACAACAAGATATTAGACATTGTAAAAGGGTATAAAATTGAATTTGCGGGGGATAGTCCACCCTTTCAAAAAATAGTACCTCATGCTTACAAACTATCACAGCAGGAAAAAGATGCTGTGGATATGGAAATTTAAAAATTACAAATGAAAGGAGTTATAAGACCTTCCTCTCATGAGAGAGGGGAGTTCATCTCAAATATATTTACTTGCCCCAAAAAAGAAAATAGATGGGGGCATGAGAATGATTTTGGACCTTTCAGATTTAAACAAAAGCATCAAATATTACCATTTGAAAATGGATTCTGTCGAAAGGGCAATCTCTTTAGTCACACAGGATTGTTATTTCACATCAATTGATTTAAGAGATGCATATTACTCAGTTCCAATTCACGAACAACATTGGAAATATCTAAAATTCTTTTTGGAAAGGCAAGCTCTGGCAATTCATGGTTTCACCAAATGGGTTATCACCAGGACCCAGAATTTTTACAAAGTTAATGAAAGTGCCATTATGAGTGTTGAGAACTCACAGTATTATCATAATGGCGTATACTGATGACAATTTATTAATTTCTGACTCTAAGGAGCAAGCACTGTTGGACATACATACAGTGCTTACTCCCACACATAAAATAGAATTTCTGGGCTTTGTTATCAACTCCGTTAACATGAAGGTAACGTTGACCAATCGGAAAATACAAGAAATTGTTTCATTTTCACAAACACTAATGAAATAAAAAAAGATATCTTGAAAAATAAGAAAAATAACTTGTTATATTGGAAAATTGGTAGCCACTTTACCAGCATCGGACTTTTTAAAATTACATTACAAAGTGCTGGAGAGGGAAAAATACAGGCACTTAGGCAAAATCGGGGAAATTTCGATGCTAAGATAATTATAACGTCCAGGATGCGAAAGGACATACAATGGTGGCAAGAAAATGTGCAGACGATGACTAGAAAAATAATCAAACCAAACCCTGCTTTTCGGATGCTAGTGGAGCAGGTTGGGGAGGCACAAACGGCAAAGTTCATATTGGAGGTCGATGGTAAATTAATGATTTAACAACAACTAACAGTTTCAATATGAATTATCTCGAACTAAATGCAGCCTTTCTTAATTTGAAATCATTCTGTAAACATATGAATGATTGCCATATTAGACTAAAGCTTGACAATGTTACTGCCATCACTTATATAAACAATATGGGTGGTACAA